AACCCTCCCCCCTAGTACACTACCCTCTTGGAAAAATAAAAGAAAAATTCTTTTATTATTTTACAATCCCTCCCCCCACATCCACTCCACTATGCAGCCTTTGCTCTGCACTCCTGTCAGGACAAAAATACCTAATCACATACCCCTTTTAAACTATTTTCTCCCTCATCTGTTTCAATGCAGTATACATTATTGAACTCATCTTTCTCAGTCTCCCCAAGGTCAGTCTTGTTTTACAACAGTGGTACCATGCGGTATTTGTCCTTTTGTGACTGAGATACCTCACTCAGCATAATGTCCTCCAGGGTCACCCATTTTGAATAATATTGCATGAGTTCCTTGTTTTTCAGTGCAGCGTAGTATTCCATTGTGTGAATATTTAATATACCACAGCTTCTCTATCCATTCGTTTGTTGATGGGCACTTAGGCTGTTTCCAACTCCTTACTATTGTGAACAAAGCCGCGATAAACATGGATGTGCATCTATCTGCTTGGATGTCAGTTATGGTCTCTTTAGGGTATATTCCGAGTAGTGGAATTGCTGGGTCAAATGGTATCTCTATTTGCAACTTTTTGAGAAAGCGCCACACCGTCTTCCACCGTGTTGCTCTGGCTCAAGTCTTTATCAGCCTGCCGCGTAGCCTAATACACAAGAACATCGCCATTACGAACCACTAGAACCTTCCTACTGGGAAAGTCCCTCACGTCACTGGCCCATTCACAAACGCAACTCCATCCCCACTCACCAGTGTCTTCCCTCTCCCCCTACTCCCTTTCCTGGCACCACTGCCTCTAACCTCTTATAAAATGGCCCCAGGGGAGGGGGGGAAAGGCAAAAACAGACCAACATGCAGGTCTCCGTGCTGCACCGGGGTGTCCTGTGTACTGACTGGGCTGGACGCAGCAGATGAGAATGATCGATACATAAGTCCTTCTGTGTAGGGGGTCTTTCTGATTAAAGTATCCTCTGGCGGAATTTGTTGGACAAAAGCCAGACGGTGTGCAAATTGATTTTACCGCATCAGCCTGTTGCCGGTCTTTAAAACATCTTAAGAAAGGGTGAAAGAACTAGTGGCTTCCTTTGGCACATTTCAATCCAGAATCTTCCATCACTTCACACACACTCTCACATGATAAAGGTAAGCATTTCAGAGGCTCCAGAGTAGCAGATCATTTGCTCCAGTGTTACTTGTGTAGGCTAAGCAAAGACGCTAGCCCCCTAGTTATGACGCCCTGCACATAAGTCGTGGACTCTCCCTCTCCAGGCCTGAGGGACAGCCAGATGGCAGGGGTACCTTTCTTAGCTGTCAGTGGTGACCCATCAACATGGGAAGACACAGTTAAGTCTGCACAGACGTGCATGGGCCTCCTCCTCCTCCTCATTACAATACCACCAAGAGACACAGCACAATAAAAGGCAGTTGTCCTTTGAGCTGCACAGCCGGCTCCATGCACTAACTTGGCTCCTAGATGGGGTCCTGATCGCGCAATGGTTAAGTGTTTGGCAACTAACCAAAAGGTCAGTAGTTTGCACCCACGAGCTGCTGATCTGCTCCCTTAAAAATCACACCCATGGAAACAGAGGGGTTCTACCCTGCTCTGTAGAGGGTATGCAGGACGGGAAGGAACTGGATGGTAGGAAGAGTGGCTCTGGGGTTTTCATATCTCAAATGCTAAGATGTTTTACCCAGTAAAATGAACATAAACGTCAGTTCACAGGTCATTCACTGGCTCAATTTTCTCTGTGTGTGTGTGTGAAGTATTTACAGTGAATCCAAATATTTATTCTTAGAAACAAAAGCACCATAAAAAAAAAAAATCTGAAATGCCATAGCCAGATCAGCTGAATTTCAAACCCAGCCTTGTTCTGAAGCCGGCTTGTTTCTAATAAATCGTTTCACAAGCAGACACTGTGTGTGTAATACCAAATAATGATGCCCCGTGAACAATGAACGCTTTTCATGTTCCAACATCTCGGGCCCGCGCCAGCCTTCGACGGGGAACTTAGTCACGGGGGCACCCTGGCACGGCCCGCTACAGAGCTGCGGTCTTATTTCACTTGTGGTCAGCGTGCTGGGGAATTTGAGTTATTAAGTTATTCCACTGCTATCCGGACTATTTTCACAAGGGGGGAAAAAGGCACCACCTTCCCCCTCGTTTCATGTTATTGCATTGGCAAATGACAGCATACCAAATGTTCCCCCCACTTGCAGTCTTGAATTCATCTTTTCAAATTTTCTCACCTTATCCAAAATAACCTCCTAACCACCACCCCCCACAAGCCCCCTTCGGCCCTTTCTCACTTTGGTTATAGAAACTCCAGGCAAGATCGCCCAGTAATAGAAACCTTACACCATCATCCAAAACTTATTACAGCTGCCTTCAGTATCAAATGAAACCTTAGAGAATGTTATTTAAAATGTTTTTTAAAAGTCAGTAGGCCTCATGTTTCGTTTCTCCACATCAGGCTTTGATTTCCTTTGCAACCTAACTCCCCTGCCCTGAAACAACTCAGAGAAGGCGTCCTGAAACATCTTGGAAGGGGTCCCGGATGGCAGCTCTGCCGAGCCACGCTCCCCTTCACAGGCCCTTCGAGAAGCATCATTCCTCGGTGCCTATCATCAGACTCTAAAGAACGGTGACCCGGAAGTGGACAGAAGCATTCTGACTGCTGTTACTGCTTCAGATGAGTCAAAGCAGGGGAAGGTGGCAGCCCAGCAAGGCAACTGGGCAATGAAGACAGTGCCCACTGTGGCCAGGCCTGGCAGGCACAGCTTCAACAGGCCTGTGGGGTAGAAAGCTGTGTCTCCAAACAGAACCTCTTCAGGTTTGGGTCCAACCAACCAACCTCTCAGCTTTGTGGCTTTTTGGCCACAAACCAATGCACAAAAGAACTCATCAATGAATTATCTCTGGATGAAAGAATATAGCCAAGGGCCGGCTCCTCTCTTGTTCTCCTATGTGATAACAAAACTCCCATCTTCTCCACCGTGCAGGATTTACAGTTTTAGGCCCAGTTGTCTTACAGTTTGTTCAAGGCTCAGCTGTTATAGAAAACAGATTTCTCTCCCTTCTTGGGGACCAAAATAAACAGATGGGAAGCCGAAAAGGTGGCCTGCAGCTCACCTCTGCTTTCTGACTGTGGGTTTTCAAACAACACACAGCTCAAGTGTGGCAGGGCGCAGACAGACAGGAACATGAGACTGGATGAGGTTCCTGTGTGGATTCTAGGCTGAAGCAGAGTGGGGTGGCCACCGGGAAGGCTCAGCTCCTGCCGATGGGGCAGCTGGCAGCCCTGCTAAATGAGATCCTACCAAATTAATGCACAGTAAACACAGACCAAAATCCTTAAAACTATGCCGTTTCTCCCCCTCATTCTCTTCCTCACGCTCTCTCTCCTCCTTTTCTAAGAGCTCCAAATGAGTCCACTTTACAAAAGCAAAAGCTTCAGCCTCAAAGCGCCCAAGAGTGAAGGCTGTCATGCTGGAGAAAAACAGACCCTGTTTCGTTCCCAGAAGCAATTATCGAGCACGAGAAAATACCTGAGTGACAAAGAATAAATCTCTGTTAATTGACCAGCGAAACTTTATCGCATGCCAGGCCTCTGCTGGACAGAATAATGTTTGCTCCCAGTAGATCTACGACTTCGACTCTGACAGGGCAGAGGCCATAAAACTTGTCCTCCCGCCCATGGCCTTGGGTCTGCAGGCTCCAAACAGGCAGCCTTGGGATCCGGGGGGAGGCAGGTTCTTAAATGACACCTATAAATTCATCAAGACCAGAGTCTTCAGGTTCTGGGTTCACAGATGTCCTAAGTATTTCTCCCCCGGACTGTAGCAGCATTGGCCA